GGTACTTTGTTAATACCTAAGTACTACTTTTCGTTTTTTTGTCTTGTTTTTATGTTTGTTCGTTCAGTCGCTACATAATTGCAACAGCGTCAGACTTAAGCAAAAGGGGCCAAGTATAACCCGAAGAACCAGCAGTGAAGCTAAAGTCTGGTTTTTGTTTAGCAAATTAGACCCAAGGTTGCCACATGGAAGCCAGTCGTCCAGAAGTGAAGCATCACTCAGGCAATTATTCGACAATTAATGCCCAGATATGTCAGGTCAAATCCAAACTACCAAGTGTGAAGCCTAAGCTTGGTGGTAATTTGGCGAACTAGGGTCAAGACACCCAGGTTATAAACAAAGAAGTTCAAGCTTGCCCTTATTTAGCTTCGTCGAGCTTTTTGATTGGATAAATTTGAGACAAACACTAAATTCTGACACAGAAAACTGTCCTACACTCTAAAACCGGTCTCTCATAAAAAACGCTGTCCCTCTGATTTTAGAGGGGACAACAATGCTTTCAGGGGGACAGCTCTTTTTAAGAGGGAAGTTGAAAAATAAAATAGCAACATCTAGAGGGACACCAACATATTAAGAGAGACCAAGGAAACCGTTTCGTTAGTCCCTCTGAACAGGAAAGACAGACAAAAAGATTCACGCGTGCCCTTCATATTAAGAGGGGACTGGTCCCTCTTAACTGGACCAATGTAGTTCGGTCAGGAGGAGGGGGGCAGGCGCACTAATCCACGGCAAAGAGTTCGGACTGTGCTAAGGCTTCGCGCCAATTCACGGAGAGCTGGAAACGGTCGTTGCCGGAGAGTCGCAAGCGTCATGCTGCTCGTTTGACTTCCTTCGGGTGAGTAATCCTGTCATATTGGCGCTTTTGTTTTGGGTGCATTGCGGGTGGGAATAATGAGCCATCAATATGTTCACGCTGGCTGTGAGATGCACGAGCTTTGCATGTAGAGTGAGAGTGTTCAGCTGTAGTCCGCGGACGCGGTCGCTTCCGGGATCTTCTCGTACAGCTAGGACAAAGCGTCGCTAATCGTTTGCCCTGCCGTGAGCCGCAGGGCTGTCTTTCGCACAGAACACTTTTAGCGGGTTAGGGTGTCCCAATATGTACGCGTCTGGCTTAGGCTGGTGATATCAGACCATTTTCTGTCCGACGCATTTGTCTACTTTTTAATTTCGAACGCGCGTTCGTTCTTCTCCCAGCTCGAGCTGCTAGCTTTGGCAGTGCAACGCCGGCATTTTATTACCGGCAATTTCCTTGTATTTTATCCGTGAGCGTACACTGTCAGCATCGAGTACTACAAAGGATGGCATCACCCTGCCTAAGGCAAAGCCAACATAAAGGCACCCTAGCTGGGGCAGTCAGTGTTTGTAAGCTTGGCTCGCCGATTTGTTTCTCGGTGTGCACTCTAAATGCTTGAGGTTGACCGCCCGAGAGCGTTGATTGACAGAAACAATGTTGGCGATTTTGCTTTTGTTTGCCTTCACAATTCATTACAGCAATTTACACTGCAACGTTATGTTGTAGACATCGTTAGCGTTGCAGTGATTATGAACATTTTTTTCTCAAGTGGGCGGCGAGCAAAAACCCATAATGTGTGTGTATGTTTGTGAAAGGGGCAGGGAGATAGGACGAGCACAAAACAAAAAGAAGAAATAAAGGTTTGTTTTTTTTTCTTCGCGCGTTCGCGTTGCGTCAGCGTCGCGGCGTCTGCGGAAAGGGGGGAGGGGTGTAGCGGTGGCCAGGGAGTACATTTTTTTTTTTATTTCTTTGGCGTACTGTTTTGTTCGTTATATTTTGACGGTCGTGCCGGCACAGCTACCGGCTTTTTTTTTTTTTTTTTTTGTCGCCGACCATGTTTTTGTTTTTGGAGATTTTATGATGTTTATTATGCTCTTTGTTTTCTGTAGCTGGCTCAATATTTTTTTTTTTCTGTGTCGTACATCCGCGAAAAATATATAAACAGAAGTTTTCTTTTTTTTTTTTTTTCTTTCTTATGCGCTTTAGGGCTAGGTTGACTATGGGCGTTAAATGACTGACCGTTATTAACAATCTTGTTTTCAGAGTGAGGCAATGGCAACGAACGTAGACATGAAGGAAATCAGGCGGGGGTTCCGCTCGGATTGCTCGTGTAAAGAGCTCTACCGGGACCCTCTGCACGGTGGAACGCACCATCCTGAGTGGTGAGCCTACTGCGGCCACCCGCACACGGTTCACAACGAACTCGGTAATTATTAACTTTTTGTATTCTGGTATGTAGGTAGGCTCTATTTACGTTCTGTTAACATATGCACTGCTTCTGAAAAAAAAAATAGTAAATGAATGGCTTGCGGCGAAATGTTTACAGAACTGTAATTTTTTATTTGATTATGTTGCTTTCTAAAACATGCACTAGATCACTTCTGCAGCTTCGAGCCGCAAATGCAATCCATGCTTTCCAAAGCACATGGGGCTTCTAAAGTTCATCTACTACTAAATGCGTTTTTGTTTTGTCTTGGTAACACAGAAACGATTGATTCTCGTAAATTAATTAAAACTGCAGTCTATTCTCGTACCAAAAATTAATAGTAGCAGAAGTTACGTCATAAGCTAATGTCACTCGCTATTTCATCGTATACAGATTGGGTTCCGAATCTTTGAACTGTTTGCACTTTATTTTCGCATTTGTTTCCTATCGCCTGCTTGATAACAGGTGAAAGCGCTTCATTACCCTTATTCTAATTCCCACTCTCTGTATCTAAAGGAAAACAATACGGTCTTTCATTCAGCTAAAGGTGGATGCACAACTTCGGTTCCATAACACGATCGTCACCATGCTGGGAAACCTGGAGGAGGTAAAAGGGGCCTTCTGCGGAGACAACCCAACAACATTCTTGAACATTAAGACCATCCTCCGGTCTCGATTGGCCAGAAGTTCTCTCATCACCTATGGTATGTGAAAAAGCGAATGCAAAAATAGAAATCTAAGTTTGACACTGACGCAATTTTTTTTTTTTTAACAATTGCTGTTTGCAGGACGATTTTACCTTTGACGAAAAAGTTCCAAGACCCAAGACTTTCTTCGGTTCGGAGAAAGGGATCGTTTCTGGGAACTGGTCAGTGAAACTCACCGCTAGCACGACTATGGAGGGGGCACTAGTCATGTGCTTATGGGTGTATTACACCCATAAGCATATTACATAACGGGACTCTCCTACCCTGTGGCATGTGGACAAACCCTTGGACTCCTCTAGGGTCTGCTCGTTGAAAATAAAGTGTTTCGATTCAGTTTATGTCGGAGAAGCTCATAAAATCGCTTATGGCCGTTCAAAAACAACAGAAATTCTGAGCTTCTGCTGATATCAAGAGACACCGAATAATTCGTTTTTAATGCTATGAAGTAGGTAAATACGCTCTGAAAAAAAGCACAGGGTTCTACTTTCCCGAGCCAGCACTTGGAAAGTCAATCACCGTAACTCACGGAAGCAGCTCAGCGAATCACGATGCCGAAACATAAGATTAGACCAAAAAAGGCAGTCCGAGTTGTGACATTAACCAATGCAAAACATCACGCTTGTTGTGCTTAATGTCGTAACTCATTTTTTTGGTATAATCATATGTTTCGGCATCTACATTCGCTGAGCTGCCTCCGAGAGTTATGGTGATTGTCTTTCTAAGTGTTGTGCGGGAAAGTAGACGCACGGGCTTTTTTTTAGAATGTAATTTTCTTTTTGTGTTATCCGCTAAAAACAGTTTTTTTTCTAGCACGATTGTATTGTTATTGTTTATGATAGGCAAAATGAGTCACTTTGCAGCACGAAATTTTTTGTGTGATAGTTTCCAAGAAACGCCGATTTCTGGCGTCGTTCTAAGTCTTTTTTATTCGTAAAAGCTACCAGAACATCTTTGTAGAATTATTATTTTGATAAAGACATATCAAAATATTTTCTTGTGTCATGGCAAATAAAACAGCGTTTACTCTTAAAGATTGTTACTGTTTTCTTTAACACATTGATTCCGTTTATCAAACAAGATATACAGATCAAATTTCAATTCTGCTACGCAGCACAGAATAACTTTGGTTAAACAATATCAGCGAAAGTGCGAGAAGTGCAGTGCAGCATGTCAGCTGACACTCAAAACACGAAGGAGCAGAAATTTTACGATACAATAACAGAGGTAACTTAAAGCCGGGGTCACGCTGCTTATACATCATACAAAATACATTCTGCAGACATGTTCCAATGCGAGTCACCGCGACATCTGTGCTTTGTATGCCACGTGACAAAGTAACCTCTTGATTGGTTACCTCGTGGCGTACGAAGCGCGGATGTCGAGGCGACTCGTTTCGGAACATGTCTGCAGAATGTATTTTGTATGAAGTATAAGCAGCGTGACCCCGACTTAAGGGGGACTGTACCCCTGCATTTTAAGCGGGCCACCGTCCCTCCGAATTTAAGAAAGAAAATATCTAAAAACTGTCCCTCTTACTAAGGGACTCTGACCTCAAATTTAAGGGAGACGCCGCCTCGCTCACTTTAAGAGGGGTGGTGTCTCACTTAATTAAGAGGGAGCATCTCCATGTAATATTAAGAGGTCTGTCGCCCCCCTTAAAGTTAAGTGGGAAAAAATCGAAGAAATGTCCCTCTTACTAAGTGGGACCGGGCTTAGAGTGTACCTAAGGATTCAGATGTACACCAACCGTATTTACGACTGCTACAGGCATAAGTTCTTTCTTATTGAAACTGTATTAGACAACAGATTGAGCTGAATCAACTTTATGCTGACTATAAAATACTTTGAAAGTTAGCACAGGGACAAATGACGAGTGAAGGTGTTGTCTGAAGTTATCAAACTGACCAACAAATGAACTTTTATGAACTTTGAGAGTTGCGTTGACAACCGTTACTGCCAAATTTCACCAGTACTCATTCCGCCGACTGAAACTCCAGGCGTGTGTCTAAAACGGGACATATTGACAGCAACAGCTGTGGACACATCTTACTGCCAGAAGCTGTCAGCTACGTACGACGATCGTTGTCACTCGGAATGTCCGGTTTTGGATGGCCTCGCTCAGCTCCTCTTCTTTCTGCTTCATGTAGGCCCGTGAAAATCGAATTCCAGTCCTCTTGTTCCATGTTCCCACCTTCATAGTTCATTAATACCGGCAACAAGAAAAATTTAAATTATATAAACATTAACACCCTGTCTCAATTAGTGTAGATATAGAAATAGAAATTGCAAATTGCACGTGCAATATGAACAGCAGCAAATTGATTTCAATTTATCAATATCAGCATTATCTTCTTTCTTTAGGCAAAACTGATGATCTCACAAATATATTCTAGGACATGATATCTGCACCCCTCGTGGTAACAAAATAAAACACTCATTGAACAGAGTCATGCCGGCCAAAAGTCATGAGCAATCTGAAGGACAGGCGCATCCAACATAACTTACGCCTTCTCCAATCATTTTCACGAGTCTTGGCCACGCCTTCCGTATTTGTAGAGAAAAAAAATTTATACCAATGCACAAATGTAATTATAGAGGATAACTTACCTTCTGTAATAGCCCCGATAAAAGTTCCTATACTCTATAATAATTCTTTAAAACCAAGGACATTCTGATATAAAACTATTTCGTTTGCATACTTATTTTTATTTTTAGGGATATAAGGTATTTTTGTAAGAATAAATGATTTATGCTTATATTTTACACTAGATATTATCACCAATAACAATCGTAGACAAGACTATTTTCGAAAGTCTGAGCTATGTAGTCATAGTCCAACTAGCTCCACAGTATCCGCAGTAAACCGCTCCGCGTCAGGACAAAATATCCTAACTCATGCTCTCTAAACTATATGGATCAAAATGCGATATGCATGGTGCACATAAAACTTAGCCCGAACGCGCCAACAGTGCCTCTTTTCATGGAAACGATTTCCTGACCAAAGTTAAAGAATGGCTTCGTGGCGTACTACTGAGTGGAACCACCCGATCAGGGTATGCCGCTCGCACACAGTCGAAATCGAGCTTGGAGCACGGACAAGGCATCTTTATTTTGCTACTGGACAATGCAGGGTTCTTAGACAGGCTCTCACACAATGATGGATAGGCCAACGCCGACATCGCCTGTTATTAGACGCCTCATTCAGTATAAATATAAGACAACTGCTGATTCAGCCATCCCCTCACTGCCGGCTTATACTCACCAATTCACCCTTGTTTGAAAAATTGTCGATAAATGCGTACGTCAGGGAGAATCGTTCAATGCCTCCTAGTTAGCGCTCCTTTGAGAGAAAATGCAGTTCATCTGTTCCGTTAACGATTTGTTAGCACTACGTATGTCCCAATTCATTTAATAATTTGTTTCCGGCCTACACGATGCGTTTAAAAACCTTCAGTTTTCCCTGTGGGCAGCACCAGCAACAGAGTGTCAATCCGACTCTCGGCAGGGGACAGTCTAATTTTGCAAGACCTGTTAAAAGAGCAACTATTATTGTACTCACCTTTTCAAATCCCGAAGACTTGAGTTCAATAACATTCATTGAAAAATCTGTTCTTAATCCTTTGTCATCTAGCCTTAAAGGTCCAGTGAGGCCTTTTACTTGAACCTGGAGGAGAGAAGAACGCATGAAATGTTATATTAAGTTTTTTTTTCTTTAACGAATCATTTAAAAAAGGTGCATGCCCAAAATATATATAAATAAAATTGTCTGCAGAAAGCGAAAAACCAAAACGCCCCATTAAAACAAACTTTTATTATAGCTCTCGTAAATGACAGACAAATATGTTTTAGGTATATGTAATGCGTCAATTCAAAGTGCCAAGCACGATGGAAAAATCACTCTTCACAAGGCAAGATAAGGTCGTTATAGGGGTAACCCAGAGCTGGCAATGAGTGTTTTGGGAAATAAGCAATCTTCAGCCCATTAATGTAAATTTCTTTGAAGCCACCTGCTACCACCAGTAAAAAAAAATCACTTTTACTACAAATTAGACTCAGTCTAATCTCTAGCAGACATGCAAAGTAGCTTGCGCCTTCACTTCTATTCGGAGAGACAGAATCTCGAGACCAAACTGCAAGTTTTCCGGATAGTCAGGCTTTCGCAGTTATGGTAATGTTTTCAGCTCAATGAGTTCGGCGAGGGACTCCCATTTAGCGAGCGAAGTAAAAGTGGTATTTTTTTTAGCTAAAATGGTAGTCATTAGATTTGAAGCTCTAAATTGCAGTTGTGGCGTCTCACTGAGGAGTCCGTTTGAGTCGCGTGTTGGGATGGTCTTAATGGCTCTTTCGAATAATGCGGAAGCGCTGTGCTGCGATAAGGTAACTACATAAAACTAATTGAAGGATATCTATGGTAATGTCAGCGTAATTACTTGAGTGTGATGATGTATATTTCTGTTTTTAGTGTATTGTTTTAGCGGATGAAATTCAAACTAAAAAAATTCGGTTCTTTTGCAGAATTTTAAGTAAAGATTATTATTAGTGATATTAGTATTATTATTATTACTATTACTAATAATGCGATATCATTAACTGTCCCATAGAGCGAGCTTACGTCAGCAGCCGCGCCAAAAGGTAGATAAATTACCGAAGCCGCAATTTAAGGCATCCCATCTTTGAAACCGCGCAGAAAATCACGCTAAACGGCAGTGATATCTCTTAAAAAAAATGATATCTGGCCAGATCTGAAGATTTCAGATATGACGATATCAAAAATTGGCCACATATAACCTTATATGATATATCTTCTTGATATAGCTTAATAATGACGAATATATTCTGATATCCCGGGCCAAATATGGAAATCCCAAATATGGCTAACTATGGAAATTCCAGATCTGGCCAGGCATATCAAAAGGACAAAAGCCTGGAATCAGCACTTCATATATTTTTCTTGTCTACAATTTTCTCAGTGCCCCGGCCCGCACTCGAGCAATAGACCTTTTCCAAAATTCAGTCTGGCCACTTCAATAGCTATCATCACCGTCATCTTGACGGTGCTCAAAAGTGCGGCTGGCCACATTGTACGAGGGAGACGCCGCCAACGCCGCCATGAGCATGTACGGCATCGCGAGTACGAGCTCTGCTGCTGCTGGCAGTCTAACAGTCTCGTGGACCAGACGTTTGTCGCCCATTTCAGACATTCAGCCCGGTCGAGGACTGCGCCTGTGGCAGCATTAACGCACTCGTCGATGTTACAATCGTTCACTACGCTGTCTTCAGTTCCGACTGCGTGGCACATGAAGTCAGCGGTGAAGTCTTCCATTGCGTTGACAGTGACGATTTCGCCGCTTGCATTCTTCTGGCTTGACGCCCCAGATGCCGCGTGTCCACCGGTCAGATCGGCGAATGCGTAGCTTGCCTCTTCACTAGCGGGTTCGCTCACCGCGTCTTGACTGCTCGGATCGGCAATTGCGTCATTCGTCACTCCGGCATCAGCGGCGGAAAACTTCGACGTTGACGGCGGCGCCTGTCGTACTCGTGGTTTCTTTCTAGGCGGCTTTTTCGCTACGTTGAATGCGAAGATGCTCGGCACTACTTCCTGTCTAAGGTAGCGACGTTCGGAATGTAGTCACCCTCTCGAAAGTGTCCTCTGCAAATCTTAGTGTACTTCGTAATGGGGAAGCGCTTGCCTTCGTCACGTTTTATCGCAACAACCCAATTTTTTTTTGGAGAGCGGGGTCGGATGGGATGGCAAACAAAGATACCCGTAAAGAAAAAAGTATACAAATTCGCGAGAGGTCACACGAAATGCCCGAATGTTAACGTTATCTCGATACCCCAAGCCCAGCGACATCGCTTCTGTTTACAAAAAGAAAAGAACGCAGGTGCATGCTCCCTTCCGTCACGCTAGCGCTTGAGAAGCAGCACGAGACGGCTTATATCATTCCATGCTACTAATCTGGCGGGATCTCTTCCGTTTCGACTGTCGCAGCGGTCGCGTGCGTGCACCGCCCGACCGCGAGCTAGAGGCATCCTTGAGTCCTTTTGGCTTACACAGCGGCACACAGCAATGAAAAGGCATCGCAGAAGCAGCGTGTGGCGAAGTATCAGCAGCGCAACACCTTATGTAGCCGCAGTGGTGTAGCGCACGTTGAGCAAGCGCCGATGCGACCATACATGCTTATGGCGGACGCACGTTGCGCCACACCCACCTGCCAAGCTTTGCAACCGTTCCGGTAGATGGCGATGAATTTGTAAAAGGGTCTATTATGAAAACAGTGATCCTTCAGCTGCCTAGTGATCGCAAATTTCGACCAATTCCATGGTTACACAGTTTCGAGGGTAATTCATAGTCACTCTGAACAAGCGTCCCATAGGGCTCAAGGACCTGTCATATCACTTTTACAATTTCTCGTCAATGGCAGCGTTTATGATACTGTGCATGCGATCCACCTTTCAACCTGGCTGAGCCGGAGAAATCTCTTACAATATTATCGTTCTGGTGATTTATTTTTGCAGGAATTATTTGAAAGCCGAGAAATCACAACTAAAACCGGGATATAGCTCGGATTCAGCAGAACTGTTTAGAGCATTTTTAGCGTTTCTAACTTAATATCAGCGTCTTTGAAGCTGTACGAGAATGATAATAATGTAAGAGATATGTCTGCAGGTAATCCAGATTGAAGATTGGACAGAACGCAAAGTGCTGACATTGGCGAGAAATTTTAAAAGTGATATGACAGGTACCTGGGTTCTATACAGTTGTTCAGGCTGACTCCAAATTACACTCAAAACTGTGTAACCATAAATTGGTCGAAATTTCCGATCAGTAGGCAGTCGAAGAAACACCGTCTCCATGATTCTTCGAGTACGGGCCGAGGCGCTTGGGGGATTTAGCAAATTGTCTATTCGGGCGTAATGTGAACACTTCGAAATAATTAAGCTACATTAATATCCTCGTGAAAATTCGCACCAATAATCCCAAACTTAAGCTTGCCACAGCTGAAGTTTGGGATTATGTGCGCTAATATTTAGCTCGCGAACAATGACTCATTCACAGTTTGCTAACAAAGCACTTTTTAAACTTTTTTTTAAAACTTTTTTATATATTGAAATTCTGCTTCCAGATAAAGCTGTATATACGCCAGATATACCTAAAATAAGATTGTATATATGCCAGATAAGTCTATATACGCCAGATTAGGCTGTATATATTCCAAACAAGGCTTTATATTCGCCAGATAAGACTGTATATACTCCAGATAAGGCTATATATAGGCCGTATAGAATCATATAAGCTTTGATATGGCCAGATATGCCCCAGATATAACATTTCCATACGGGATGAAGCCGCCGTGCGACAGTTTCATTTAGCGCCGCCCCATGGCGCTGCGTGACCACGCCCGAGCAGAAACGACCGAGGCGCCCACTGATCCTCACGGCGTCTCGGTCGTTTCTGCTCCGGTGCGAACACGCATTGGTGAGAGTTTAGGACACGCTTTCACATTCACAACTCATAAGAAATGCTTAGGTGTACCTCGAGCCTTTTATTATTATTATTATTAATAATACTATTATCGAAACAACTACCACAACAAGAGCAACAATGCTGTAAAGCACTATAGTCGGTTAAAGTCAAGAGGGTAAGAGAAGCTCCTCCCACAAGCGCGATGCGCCCGCTTCAAATCGCTCCGCAGTCGAAAGAATAGTTCACTGGAAACGCCTCTTGTTCCGTTTCAATGGATAGATATTTGCTACAGAGTGACGCCAACTTGTCTCCGACCCCACCTTTTTAAGAAAGCGCCCTTTGTAGTCATCGGAGAGGGAACCGAGCCCCTGAAAGTAGCCTTTGTATCCGTAGGAGGGGGAAGCTAACCCCCGAAAGTCAAAAGAAATAAGCAGCGCGCAAAAAAATAGGCAAGGACGAAAGGAAGGTGCGAACGACACAAGCGCTGTTTATTGTCCGTGTCTTGTCTATTTCTTGCGCGCTGTTTATGTCCGTTTACCATGAACCAGCTCGCCTACATCACGACACTAACCCCGAAAGTCGTATTTGTTTCCATAGGAGGGGGAAAACTCTATTCTCCCTCTCGTGGCTTCCACAACGCTAAGTCGAAGTCGAATGACAAGGCAAATATTTACAGGAAGGTAAGGCCCTCCTCCCGCGTTGGCCGCGACGTCCCGAAAAAGACGGGACGCTATTGGATGCAAAGGTGGAGGAGGGATATATGAATCCGTTTGAGCGGCATTTGCCGCTAACTTCTTGGCTTGTAACTTGCTATACAAGCAATGCATCGTGTCGACTAGAAGACTTAGTTTATTCCTCGTGCCTTGAATTTAACTATAAGATAAATTACTTATATTTGAAAACCAGCCGTGCTTGATTTTTTTTTCAAAAACATAAGAAGGAATTGATGGCGTGTTCATTGTAAATGTGAATTCTGCTTGCACGTTCACCTTTTTTTCAGGAATGGTAGCCTCCTTAGATTATGCGTATAAAACATATCTCGGGTGATTAAATTGATACTAGATAAAGCGCGTATTCGTTTCTTTGAAATATATACTCCGGATTAGTTGGATTATAGAATTTTAATTACCGTGCCTTTCCGCGCGATCGTAGTATATGTAGCAGCGCAGAGTGGTTCCCATCAATGAGTAAATTACTACACACAAATTATAGTATTTTCGACCACACTGCTTCACCTGTTAAGAGTGATAGGTAGTATAGCATTATCTAGATTTCCAAATTTTATGCAGCTCTTCACAAAACTTTCTCACCTACCGCTTCCTCCGTAGTTATATTATACTAAGCATTAGTTTTCAAAAATGTTCTCATAAAAGTGACTTAAGGGCCGAACCATATCAGGCCTATCATCAAAGCATCCACTTGCATTTCAGCGGACGTAATCTCGACGTACTGCGGGCGTCGGGACGAGCGTTTCCGCGACACCTCAAGGTCGATGTATGTACGGCTGTTTTTGGCGATCGGACCAAGGCAGGTCGCGGCTCTTCGGCGTAAATTTCGGCGCGGCGTTTCCCGAAGCCTGCTATGCAGCGCCGGCCGCGATCTGACAGCCGCAACTTGCTCGAGGATTGGCTTGCCTAGCTTTCGTTCGGCTGACTGGCTTGAGTCGACTGGGGTGACGGAGAAAAGGTCACCGGAGAAAAGCTCACCGGAGAAAAGCTCACCGGAGATAAGCTCACCGGAGAAAAGCTCATCGCAAAACCGGCAGATGCGGAGAAAAGCTCACCGATTTTTTCTTAGCTTAACCGATTGTGCCTCACACGTGGCAATTTAGCACGATTAGAATTCGTCACTTCATTAAGAATAATTGTCCTTTTTTGTAATATTCTTGAAGTTTATAGGGCATATTTACTAATTCCCCCAAAAATAGTCATCACCCGCTCTGGGTATTAATGTCGCCGCAAGTATAAAGTCAGAACATCTGACACCCGTAAGAAAAAACAAAGAAACAATTGCTTGACAGTGCGCCGTCGGTAGCTCTGTCAGATAAAGAGGTTTGTTTTTTCCGAGCTAGTTTGAATAGCGGTGTGAGAACCGTTTCAGCTCCGAAGATTGTATGGTGCTGGACAGATTGACTAGGTGTTTGTTCATCATAATCAGTGTTGATTGTGCTGTTTTCTTTCTGTTATTTTCAGTAATAAAACTTTTGTTGCGAGAACAGCTTCGTCCTGTGCTGTTTGTTGTCTTCACTCCGTCTTCGTCGTTTGAGCGGTTTTCATTATGTATACCGCTTACCAACTCGTCCAATTCGCTACCTTTCAGAATACTAGTTCTTATGTAGGTCACGAGTAACAACGGTGACAGAGTGCAGCTCTGAAGGTCATGGGCGGCTCGCCGTAGAAGGGAACTATCACACAGAGGCAACCTGTGGAAACAACAGCACGAACGGCTTGAAAACGTGAATGTCCGTGGGAGAAAGAAACCTCAATATCCCAGTGACCGTTCTGTCCTGTTTTCTAAGCTTAACAAAAGCTTCACAGAGATTTTCTGGCACCGCGTTGTTGCGCATGCACATTTGTGATTTCTGGCATTTACCGTTTTGCTTTTTTTTAGGTTTTAGGCCGACATTATTAAGTTTTCGAACTTTTTCCTGTTCTCCAGATTCATACAGTTGTTAGTTAGGCTTTCGATACATTGAGAGCAAACCACGAAAAACACTCGCCCGCAAATATTAGTTTGGGAGAAATATATCCGATAAGCTTAACAAATATTATAAAAGTGGACATTTTCTTCTTTATAAAGCTGATAATTTTTTATAATAATGGATTGATTTATGTTATGCATGATCCAGTAGCCTCCGTATGAACAGAAGAAAAAGATCGGTGAGCTTTTCTCCGCATCCGCCGGTTTTGCGGTGAGCTTTTCTCCGGAGAGCTTTTCTCCGGTGAGCTTTCCTCCGGTAAGCTTCTCTCCGGTGAGCTTTTCTCCGGGATTCACTTGGCTGCCGGATGCAGCCTTTCGCTTGACGCGTTCGACGGTTTATCGGTGAACTGCACATAATCTGCATATCCATCTGATACGAGCGATCAACGACTAATACAGAAGAAAGAAGCATCTATACCGCGCGCGATGCGTAAAAAATATATACTGTAAACGACTTAATTTTCTCGGGCTCAAATTTTTGCGAATCGGGCGAAAGCTGAAAGTTTGGAATTATTCGCGGTTTCTAATTTTCGCGAATCGAGTGTATTCACATATTGCCCGAATTGTTCGCGGGGCGTATTTTTCGCGAATCGTAGGGGGTTCGCGAAATTGGCGAAAATTAGGTCCTCGCGAAAATTTAGTCGTTTACAGTACATAAAAACTAATGGTTTTGCGCAGAGATGGCGGCTGCCCTCCTGCGGAACTTGCTGGCAACTTGGCTTTTGCAAAGCACATTTTTTAGAGAAGTGTTATTATCTATATTTTTTGTGGTTGAGTTATTTATTTTCCTTTGGGAACGCGCAAATGTAGCAGCCCATCTACATTATGACTCCTTTCGTGAAAAGTGAGAGTCGGGTTACATTGCACCAAACGCCGAAGAGACGCCCACGAAAACTGCGCTGTGTAGTTCGTCAACCTTCTTTTCCCTTTTGAGAAAAGAAATACAAAAACAAAGCGCCCACCTAATGCCGTGATTACGCCCCGGGAAAGGCGCGTAAATAAGGCGAGAATACGTCCTATGTGGGCAAGCCTTTATGGCACGTCATTAGAAAACCTTACCGTTTTCATTCGTTGCAGAAGAGCTTCGCCATTGGTCCAGTTGGCAGGAATGTCGCAGTTAAAAGACTTCAATTCAAAGTTCTCTATATGTTCCATGTCATGCAGGGCCCGAGCAAAGAGCATCGCCGCATCAAAGAGCAACGCGAGTTCTGTCTGGGTAGGTTGAATGAAATAGAGAAAGAAGAAGAGTAAGTGTGTTTGCCTATACTTGTTAACAACCGACCTTGCAGTAATATGATCAGTACGTTTTACAAGCTATCACATATAGTATCTAGGTGAAAATGATTCCGAAAAGGCTCTAAGCACATCTCTCGTGACAACCATATTTTGAGGCATTGAAAGCAGTTTTGAATACCCCTATGAGCGACTGCCTTTCTCTTTACGGATGTTTAAAATTTTATATCCTTTCAACGACAACACATAAGGGAATGTACTGAACTGTTTTTCAGGAAGCTTGCTGTTAAGTGGCACAACTTCTAACGCTCCAAATGTTGCTCTTTACGTGCCTCTCACCATTTCACCATTATATCTTTATGCTATTCTTATTTCGGGTCCATATCACGTGAGCGGATGACATTTTAGCGAACAGCGCCATTTCAGCAAATAACAGGGCCGCGAATTATCTCCCCCCCCCCCCCCCCCTCCCCCGCTGCGTTCACGGCGCTTCGCGGCGGCCGTCTGCGGCGGCTCATTGACCCACTTAGGTTCATCTTGAAAAAGCGCGAAGGTTACACGGCGGAAGTGAGAAGTGGACGATACGAGCGCTCACTGACAGCGCAGGGTTTATTCTGAACAAACCGCGAAACAACATTTGAAAACACATTATTCTCTAATCATGATGAAAAGGCGCTGCGCATCACTGAAATTGGGTGCTTTCAGGTATACAATTCCATGGGCTATCTACCCCTATCTAAAACTTCTATCTCAATGTCTAGCGATGCCAAGGAAGCCTCGCTCACACAGGATGGCCCTTACCTTGTCTTTCTCTAAGCCTCTACAATATCGCGAGACACTTTCTAGTTAATGTGTACATGCACAGTGACGGCAATACTATGCCAAATGAGAGGACGTGGTCCTTGTTAGCGAACTACGGTGCTCGTGGAGGCGATTGTTGAAACATATCCCCGTTTGCTCGATGTACACCTTCGCGCACGGGAGGGCGATCTGGTATATGACAGCCTTTTTTGCATGGTATGAACTCGATGCGGTGTTTGATGCCGCGTCCGCTTTCCCCTGTCTTTCTTTTGTGCTAGTGCGTTTTTCAAAGCGGAGCATATTCCGCTTAACTTTTTACGTGCCGAAAAGACTACACCTACCCCATATATTCAGGATGCTCTTTTAAAACCGTGCGGCATTCCGTGCATGTAACGGATGAGTGTAGCATACTTCCTTACTTTTTTCGTTACTTGGCCCCGCGCCTCCCCTTTAATACTTTTTGCAATTGTTTTTGCGGCAGGGGTGATCGCCGACTCCGGGTAACCATCGTCTTTTTAATCTCCAGACCTGGGCGGAAAGGCTTCTTTCCACACCTTGAAAGCAGGACTTTTTAACCGTCGAACGGATATATGAGTCAGCAATATCTTTTGGAGGAGCTTTTTGTGTTCCGATCTAAACTGAAGGAGAGTTTTCGAGGTTCGGGGAAAACGCCACCAACAAGCGTGCCTTTTGTTCCCGTCACCGCAGAGATTTAAAAACAAAATATGAAAGACGTTTACAAGTCTTTGCAATGCGAAATTAGAGCGCAGCTCATATTGAGGAGGAGAGGAGGGTACAAAGGGGGGGGGGGTATGCCCCTCCTCCCCCTCCGTAGCGTCTCCTGATCCTCTCCTCCTCCCCTCCCATTTAGCGGGAAATGTAGCGAAAATGTTCCTGCTAAATTTAACCGGATTAAGTTTCCCCACATATTTCTGTGGGAAATCGACGTCACGTAAACTCAGCAATGGGGAATTGTAGTAGACCGCTTCCGCAGCCCGCTAAGCACCCGGATAGCGCTCCGTAATCCGCCACAAGACCTTGAACTATGCAGACAAGGCGGGCGGCGCGCATGCGCAGCTGCGGCGTTTTCTTCGGGCATACCGTAGCGGAGGAGAAAAACGGTCTACTACAATTCCCTATTCATTCAGTTTCCCCGCTAAATTTAACGGGGAAACTGTGACATCCAAAAAAGCAACTCGCTCTGTTACGCCGACGCCGCTCAACCCGGAAACAGGCGCCTAAGAGCTACGCTCTAAAACTGGATCGCCTGGTCCTTAGAGGTCTCAAATGTGAACCGCAAGCCCAAACCTTGTTTCCTGAACACGTTGAGCACCAAATCAAGGGTCAGAGTAATGTCCTTTTTGCTCACGAAAACCAGATAATCGTCTACGTAAGTAAAATAAAGAGCCGCGGTGTTATTGGATAGACTGAGCCTAAGGAAGGTGTGTGCGGGGGTTAAGGAGAGGAATCTTACCCTGGAGGTTTTCTTCGCAGCCAAGACACATAAGGCAGGAATTCCGTTCCGGACCATTTAGTCAGAGCTCGGCACCTAGCTATATGTGGTTTCTGGGCTATTCAAGAAGCACTTGGACACGTTGCCTGTCGAAGACCCTTTCAGTGTGCTTAGTTCCATGGCCGTTACTTCATACCTTACCGATCGTAATATGTGTGGCTGTATTGCGTTTATTGTCGACGTTGCAGACACTTAGTATTTAATGCACCATGGTGAGCTTATGCTTAGCGTAAAAAGATGATTTTGGATCTCAACGACGAAATTCTGTTCAGGTCTCAATGCGGAATTTTTGTTAAAAGATTCCTCGGAGTGTTTTCATTTTATTTGAGGTATACCTTTATCGGGTGGCACAACAAGGTGCTTCTACAATTGTCACGGGCTTCCATAGGGCCTAGGGTAGCACCTGTTTGATTGACACCTTCCTTGCGAAAGTTGACGGCGCACTAGAGAGTTTGGTGAATGTGCCCGCTAAGAACATATTCAGATACGCTTGAAGACGAGTATTTGGTTTCCGTAGACAAAAGGAGCTTTAGTCCGACCTTAGATTTGGCGCTCAACGCTTTCAAGGAGCAAGGTTTGGGCTTGCGGTTCACATTTGAGACTTCCCAGGACCAGACAAACCAGTTTTTGGATCTCTGCGATTTAGGCATGAGCAAAAGACACGTGTGTTTGTGGCATCATCCCAGAACCGCAAAAGCTTTGTTTCATTTTAAATCGGGGCAATCAAAGCTCGTCAAAAAAGATATTGCTGAGTCAAGTATCTCCTCGACGGTAAAAACGTCTTGCTTCCCCGGTGTGGAAAGAAGCCTGTCTGCTCAGATCGGGAGACCGAAAAGATGCCGGTTACCCAGAGTCGGTAATCGCCTCTGCCGCGGAAACAATAGCAAAAAGTAATAAAGGGGAGGCGCCGGCAAATTACGAAAAAAGTAACGAAATATGTGATAGTGACCACTTACGTGCGCCGCATGTCGCACGGTTCTGTAAGCGAGCACCCTCAAAATATGGGATAGATGTAGTGTCTACGGCACGTAATAATTTCAGGGGAATAGGCCCGCTGTGGAAAAACGCGCCAACATAAAGTAAAGACAGGGGGAGAGCGGATGCGGCATCAAACACCACATAGAGTTCGTACCATGCAAAAAGTGCGTCGTATACCAGGTATACCATGCAACAAGGGCGTCGTATACCAGGTATACTATTCAAAAAGGGCGTCGTATATCAGGGGAAGCTGTACATCGAGCTAACGAGGAGATGCCTCAACATTCGCCTCCGAGAGCACCATATTTCATTAACAGGAACCACGTGCTCTCATTTGGCATTGCCCTGCAGTGACTGCGCATGTGCACATTTACTACAAAGTGCCATCGTGTTTCATATAGATGGAGACCAAAAGACTCGCGAAATTGTAGAGGCTCACAGAATAAAGAAGGGATGCCCAACCTGCGTTAGTCGGGCTTCCTTAACATGTCTTGACAATGAGATATGACTTTTAGATCGGAGAAGGTCGCTTATGGAATGGTATAACTGACAGCATTCGATTTCTGTGATGCGGAGGCGCTAATCCATCATGATAAATCATTAATATGTTTTCATATGATTTTTTCCCGGTTTATCCAGCATAACCCCTCAGTTGTTAGTCAGCACTTATGTTGTCCGCTTCTTTCCTCCGTTGTGGAACATTCGCGCTATTTCGAAATGAAGACATAAGTACTAGGCCAGGCTATACTGTGTATTCAACCGACTTAGCCCACACGTAAACGCCACTTCGCGACGGCTGACCATTCGCAAAAATGTCATTCAATGGAAAGTCGGCGTTCGCTAAAACGTCGTTTTTTTTAACTGAGTCCCACCCTCTCATTTTTCTCGTTGGAAATATCTTTACACTCGATCGTTTTCCACTTTGCTCCTCTTCGCTATCCCTGGCTTCAAGATTGATTTTTTAAAGATTATATCTATAGAGTTTAGCATACATGTTCGTTTTAATCTTTTAAATCGAGTGTTCCATTACATCTTGAAAAATGCCGGCTGAATTTATGTTTTGACGACCTTTAAGGACTTCATAAAGTGCGAAGCAGATTCTGCCAGGTATTTCCGAACCGAGACGCAATCAATTTTAGATTTAGCAGCTTAATATTGCGTCGCTAGACAAAGCAAGTTTCTTTTTAGACAAACATTTGATTTTTCGCTTTGTTTAATATTTTTTGTACAATTTTATGTAATCTTGTCCAAACGTTTCGGGTACATCGCTAGCGGCATCGCAGCTTCTTTATTGTTCGTAAACATATTACTCCACTTCAAACGCACTGTGCAGGGACGTTTGGGATGTGCTACTACTACCTCGTTCCAGACTTCGATAGACCCTGCGCACATGATCATTTATTGTTTGCTCCAAATATCTACAGACGCACTTTGCTAGAAACATTTGTTAAGGGTGGTGAGGTGGTGCAAATTGCCAAGTTATCGCACCTTTGCCTTCCGTCCTTTCAGAAAATGGCTCTAAAAAGGCGGTTATTGACAGAAACTGAATATTCACATTACGATAACCTATACCTGATTTAGATGCCGTCACTTGTGTGCTTTCGATCATTTGCGGCCTCCGCCAATAATATAGAACCACTCAGAACGCGTGGTTGGTATACGGTGTCTGGTGGGAGCGCTGCTAATACTTTGGCCAATCCCACTTTTCTAGGAGGGAAGGGAAGGCACTTCGCCTGTGCGCGCCAATTGAGTTTCGCTGCGTTCTCGAGTTTCGTTCAAATCGGAGCGATATGAAGCTCACAACTGCGCAACCTCCGCCCCCATAATCCATTGTCTCGGCCGCACGCTCCGAGTGGGTCTTTCCTATTGGAGGAGATTGCAGTAAATAGGCATATGATTCTTCACTTCTTGCATACTATTTTTTTTTCGTCTCCACAAAGAAACGGTGAAGTGCCTCCGATATGTCTTAGGGCCTCCAGGAAGCACAGTATGACGCGAAGGCTTATTTATTACAAGTACTGTAGATTTCACACTCATCAAATGACTTTATGGAATTTGGCGCTTCTTATTTTATTTGTAGCCATATAAACTCTAAAAAAAGTTTGTGCGTCTACTTTCACGCACAAAGCTCGGAGAGCCAATCACCGCAACTTACGGAGGCAGCTCAGCGAATGACATTGCCGAAACATATGTTTAGACCAAAAAAACGCAGTATGAGTTGTGACAATAAGCAATGCAAAACGTCACGCTTGCATTGCTTAATGTCACAACTCAGACTGCGTTTTTTGGTCTAAACATAAGTTTCGGCATTGTCATTCGCTCAGCTGTCTCCGTAAGTTACGGTTACTGGCTCTCCGAGTGTTGTGCGGGAAAGCGGACGCACGGGCTTTTTTTAGAGTGTACTGTCTTTAGTCAGATTATGTAAGTCTCCGAGAATTAAGTAAGACCTCTAGGCTGTGCGCTTGAATTCTATGTATTTCCAGAGCATTAAGAATCAATTGGGGTCTGAGCGTGAAACTTTCGCTTTCGCTTCCATTTGGAGTCGTGTTCTTCATTCCCAAATTTGTAATGCATCGACAACATCCAACCGTCTAGTACCGACAACACATAGACGCCGGTAGTTTACTTCGTTTCACTTTAGGTCCGAGCGCGACTTATGTTATGAGCCGAAGGGCCAATCAATTAGCGAAAGAGGCACAACGTCATGGCGTGCTCTCTGCAGTTGATAGGAGGAGCCGGTATTCGCCGTCTCTCTATGCGTGCTCCTCCGCCGGCTTGTCTTATCAAGCTCAGAGAGCACGCTATGACGTTTCGCTTTTTGCTCTGTTTGATTGGCCCTTCGGCTCATAACATCGGCCGCGCTATTACCTAAGGTGAAACGAAGTATAGAAGTCGTATACATTGAATTGTCGTCGAATAATCGTCCACACAATAAAAAATTCTTTGCGCCAAACGGTTATCCGTGACCTGCTGCTCTGCTTTAATTCACTTACCTTAAGTGCCGTGAGTTCGAGGGCCTTCCGACCAAACCGCAGCTCGGAATTCGTCCAATCGTGAAGCAGCCTCTTCATGTCCCATTTCTCCAGATCAACGAGCCGCAGGGCTGACACGTTGGCCAGCGTATTTTTAAACTTGCTCACGTCCAAGGTGTGCGTGTCCTGTGTGCGACACAACTTTTCTTTTTAGCCCCCCGTTTGTTCAGCCCATCCACCAAAAGAAATTAAAAACAAAACGCACTCAACTGAACTTGCAGTTTATTTGTGTTCGTTGGTATATGGGATCACCTAACCATATTTTATGTACTTTACTCTCTCGCTCGCCTAGTCCGTCTGTTGTGCGCAGCTTGCGCGTAATGGGTTTTCACAAAAGCCAAAGGCGAAAAGGAACGAGCTCCGTGACCAGAATATGGGGAACAACAGCCCAGTATTATACGAGTGCTTCAGGACGGAATGGATGCGCCATAATATGAGTGTTCCTGAGATAATGCACGGAAAGAGTGTTTTATCCATATGGACGCCGATGCATAGAGGGAGGCACTTTGGGTGGTATCTTGACCAATATTAGTACTCCTGCATTTTACTTTATCTCCGATTACGACATCGCACTGCGGAATAAAAGGCAACGGCAAATGCTTTCAAACTTCTTGATAATGACGTTTTCTTTTTGTCTGCTATATTCATAGCCCTTTTTATGGCGGTAGAGTTTTGGGAGCCATTAGAGCATTATTAGCACTACAACATTCCTTGGGACGCCAATTATATATAATCAAAGGCGAGTAATTGCTGTTATGAGGGTGTGAAGATGTAGGGAACCGGACAAAAGCTCACCCGTTTTTTTCACAGACACAGACAAAAGCTCACCTCTTTTTTTTTTCTTGCTACCCGGGCGAAACACAGGTTGGGATAAAGTGCGGACGCGATGGACATTGCTCCATTTTTAGGAGAACTGGCATCCGATCCCATCGAAAGGTATCGACAGAGAAACCATAACAGGCAGGGAAGCAGCGATTTGGGACCAAAATTTAGGTCACTGAACTGAGTGGAGCTGATAAGACCAAGCTTGCTTGACTCAAGGTATGCCGGAGCACTCTTCTGCCCCACCTTCGTGAACCTTCGTGAACCGAGGTTTTTTAACCCGAAGAGTGACTGACCGAAGATGCGAAGTCAGCCTTCGGTGACCTCGCTTTTTCATTGTGCTTATGTCACGCTAAACGCGCGCATAAAGGATAGGCACAATGTCTCTTCCTTACTACTGCGTTGGCTTTCTTGGAGTTCAGGGTAATATTTGAAGTGAATGGCAAGGAAAACTAAATTCTTTCTGTCAATGAGCGTCGTAAGTGTATTTTAAATCAAGAATCATCTCAGGTTTATGTGAAAGGGAAACTGAAGGAAAACTGTAATATAAAAACCATTGAGTTGTGAATATTTAAAAATATTTTTAAAGAACCGAAGTTTGGTTTTTTGGACAAGTGCAAGACAGATGACGAACTTAGAAAGCTGTGCGGGATTTCGGATGGGGCTGGCGCCCCTTCCACCACAGCTTGTGCCCGAAGGACTAGCCTACATCAGGGAAAAGTCTACTGGTCACAGCGGCGAACTGCTGAACTAGTTTGATTGCACGTCTGTCAACGGCCCTTTCCGATATGCTTCTGGTCTTTTTTTTTTTTTTTTGGCGGCACCGAGTGCGATTTTGTTTCTTTGCCAGACTGCGCGACGACGACGACCGGAGTTTCCCCCGGAATGGTGGAATATGTACGACGCCACTCTTCAAGATAAAAACTGGACGAACTACACCTGCGAAGGATAGAATACCAGGTTCCAAATATATGTCGGCGACGCCTATTTAAGCGTCTAGAGGCTGATTGAATGTCTACAGGAAAATCAGGCGTTCGTTGCCACGGCATTGATGCAAGCATGTAGAGGTGAACTCCCAGAGAAGCGGGTGCGAAAAACCACCCTGCGCCTGCATAATCGTCTGAAAAAATGTTCTCGAGTGGTTCCAGGTACAACCAGATTTACCGAGACTGCTGGAGCAAGTAAGGAACTGCATTCGCTTTTAACCAATCGATAAATAAACTTGTTTCCAATCTAATAAAGAAACCATGCGCATGACAGATTTAATTTATCATTGCACTTAGTGACGCACGCACGCACCTAAGCTGTTCGCACTCGTGTTAGGACCAACATGGCATTTTCGCATGGTGAGCTTTTGCCCGGGTCTAAAAAAAATGGGTGAGATTTTGTCCGGCGAGCTTTTTTCTGGTGAGCTTCTGTCCGGTGAACATTTGTCCGGGATTCGGAGTTGTAAAATCGTAATGATTATAAGATAAACAAATATACTTACCAAAGATGTAATAACATAGTTGTAATACTCTGTCATCATTCCGATTTCTGAAGCCTGAAAATACATATTTCTTAGTGAGGATAGAAATATTTACATTAAGTGAATTTGTAGCCTAAATCAATTTAGCCACGGCGTGGGTTTCGCTTGTTTATTGACTTAGGGTACTGATTTTGAACACACCCCGTGAACAGCTCTCATAACCCCACAAGGAAACAAAGACAAAAACAAATGTTATTTGCTTTTTAGCAACACACAAACATGTGCAAAACCTTTGTCGTAATATTTCAAAAACCTCGACACCAATTTAAATAAAAAAGTCAGAAAAGAAAAGGAACGCCAATGAAGTCCAATTGCAACAGAAAAACGATGACAACCATATATAATGTGCCTAGCAGTTCAATAAACATTATTTGTACAATTGGCCTCACGATAAATAAGCAATGAATTTCAAATAAACTGCTTTCGTCCAATAGCTATACTTTGCTTCGCCTTAAGTTCAGACGTAGCTCACGCTCCGAGCTGATGCGACCGATCAGACAGCGTGAAAGGCGACCCATCGTGGTGCTCGCCATGTTTCTTTAAGTGTACTTTCATCGCTGAACCAATGATCGACAGATAAGGCCCAGTTTGTTTCGCTTTGACGCTCTTTGATTGGTCCCTTAGCTGGTACCGTCGGCTGCATCTCACAGCTGTCAATCCACCTTATAGCGCATTTCGAATACATATACGCGTTTCAGTTATTATTATTTTATTTATTTTTTGGGGGGTTGGGCGGGTTGGAAGGAAGTAAAATTTTAACTCTGATATACATATGTCAGAAGTATTTCTAGATTAAATATTTTTCTACCAATACACACTTCCCCGGCTCATACTCGGGCCAGTTTGGCGCAAGCTTGCGACAGGCTTGAGCCAAGTTGGCTCTAGCCCGCGCCAGTCTGGCCCAGCCTGCACTGTAAAAAAGTCCCGTGGGTCTACTTTCCCACAGAACACTCGGAAAGCCAGTCACCGCAGTTTACGGAGGCAGCTCAGCGAATAACGGTGCCGAAACATATGCTTAGACCAAAAAACACGGTCTCAGTTGTGGCATTAAGCAATGCAAAACGTCATGCTTGCATTGCTTAATGTCACAACTCAGACCGCGTTTTTTAATCTGAACGTATGTTCCGGCATCGTCATTCGCTGAGCTGCCTCCGTTAATTGCGGTGATCGGCTCTCCGAGTATTCTGTGGGAAAGTAGACGCACGGGCTTTTCTTAGAGTGTGGGGTCGAGGAAGTGTGCTACTTGGAGTGCTGATTGGCGTAAAGCATAATATGTCTTAAGGTTACCGGTAAGCTTTTAATCATTAAATCACGTCGCTTTCCATTTGCGAAACTCGCTACTTTTCGTCGCTTTTACAGGAATTATTGAGACAATATAGTTTTTGTCTTTCATTCCCACCTGGATTTTCTGTCTACCTTTCCCGCCTGGAGACGGGCACCTAAGGGGACCTTTACGCCAAAGGACCTTTAGTGTAAATGTTATTTAAGCAGTCCTACACGGAAACTCAAATGGCACTGAGCGTAAAGGTACTTTTCGTGAACCTGAGCTCCAGCAACTACTTTACGGCTGCTAAATGTGTACTCTCGTCAGCAGCGGTCTACGCTAGGTAAGCCAAGTGAAATAAAATATTCTACTGATATTTGAAGTCAATGCTTTTTTTTGTATTTTTAATATTGAAAAAGAGAGTGTTTCACGTATGTTCAGACCTCGCTCTACTAATAGTTGTAAGTACTCACGGCCCCAGCTATCTAGTCGGCCTCGTCGTCCCGACGGTCGAATCGTACGCTTCGGCACTTCGGTTTTCCACCTCTCGATTTTTCTTACAACCCTAGCTATCTCGCTTTCATTTCTCTGCTTTACATTTTCTTATCCTCGAATAGTGCATTACTAACTGTACTGTGCATATTTAATATTTTCTGTGCATATATTTTTGCGTCTCACTCTCGTGTCGTGTGATATGTCGAACGACGGAGTAGCGTCCACAGGTACCAAGGGGACGCCGCGCTTCCATTAGAGCGTTTAGGCGACCTGGGCGCTGATACGACTTCGGGGGGATCGGCTGGAGGACCTCCGAAGCGTGCGATGGAGCTCAAGTGCGAGCGCGACGCCGAACCGTACAGGACAAAAGCGAAGCAGAAGCACGGAAAGGAGCGGGAGCACTGAGCAACGTTGGGACTCAAGTGAGCGGGAGATGCTAAGGGTTGCCGCTATTTACCGGAAAAAACAAACAAACAAACATTTTGCTTGGACTTAAAGTGGACTTTGTTGTAATCGCTCGACTGAGCTCATCATTTTGTCTTTTTTATTACATTTTTTGCGTAAGAAAAACTCTAAAAAGATATATATATATATATATATATATATATATCTTTTTTTTGCGAGAACGTGATTAATCCGTTTGAACTAGCTACGAGACTTTCATAGATGTAAACATCGTCTAAATGACGTTTACTTGCGCTGCCTGGCACGGCAGAACACAAAGGTCATTTGAAAATCTTAAAGCCCTTTCGCTTAAAGTTCCTTCTAGCTGCCCGTCTGACAGAGTTATTAGAGGGATCTGAACTATCTTCGTTAGGGTGGTTCTATTTTGCTTTTTTGAAACAATGCTTTCTTCGCGTTTTTCTAGGAGTGCCAGAAAGAGTGACTCTTATGTAAGCTTGTATACTGACGAGTTATTCGTTGTAATCGGGATTTATATAAAAAAAATCGAAATCCTTACAGGGAAATAATATAGATAGTTCCGGTATTAACAAGGGTTTGCTAAAAAGCACATATACATTTTATTCATAGCGTTATAGTCTTAGCGAAATAAAGCGGTCAACATTATTTTTTTCTTGCTTTTTAATGGAGAAACTCATCAAGCCTTGTAGCACCATGGAATGTTCTCATTAGGGAAACTAAACAAGGAGGCAAACTTTGGCGCCCGTAAAACCTGGTATAAGTAAAATGGAAATAAAAAAAATCCGATGTCATATTTGCGTAACAATCGTGTATTGTACATGATATCAATAAAATTGTTTGTGGAAAGTGTATCTGACGTTTTTATATAACTTCCAAATAGAAAATGCGAACGATAAATTATCACTGGCAATAAGGCATCTTTTGTTTTAAATAATAATAATAATAATAATTGTTGATGGCCACTTTAAAGTTTTTACACCCGCCGGAAATATGAAGGTGAGCACATTACTTGGTTTCTTGCCTGTTTTACGGCTCCCTAAAGCTATATTAACTCTCAACGTCTCAAATGATACGTGGCTTGGGGGTGTAAACTTTGCATTCTAGCCCTCTTCTCGAACAGAGCTTGTTCCAAAACTTGCAGGAGCGTCAAAAACAAGAAGAGGGCTGTTCGCTTTCATATTGCTCACGGGTGTACATGGAAGAAACGTGAGCGTAGAAGCCTTGAAAAACATGTGGGATTTGGTCCCACAACGTAAGATACAACATCCAAATGAACCTATCACTTGAAACACACAAGAGATAAAAATTAAAAAAAAAGGAATCGGTTCGGTGTCTTGTTTAGTGTAAATATTTCTGTAACAAAAAATCTCCCAGATGGTGAGGTATAGAGCACAATATTAGAAACAGGGAGACTACACAGAAAGTGTTAATATTAAAGAGTTTAATAAAAAAAAATTAAGAATAGTTTATTGTTACAAGCAAAGAGGAAGTTCAGTATAGCGGGTGATACAAAGCAAAGGGCAAGGCTTATGCGATGACATCTTCCAGTGAAAAGAAAAATATTGTTTGTGGGTAAAGAAAACGCATAATGTAAAAACATACTGTTTTTTTCGATTCCGTTTCATTAGCTGAACGAAAATATTTAGGCACCCTCTGCGCTTCTATCGATGAATGCGAATGAGCATTTTAGTGTATCTTCAATTTGTGTTGTCCGCGTGCGAGGTAATGAATTCGAAGCAACGGAGGTTTCAAACCGTGATCTGACTAAGGCACGGAGTATAATGAACGATCAAAACCTGGCTCGGCATTTTTGGCGCGGTGGTAGTAATAAAATATACGTGAGTGTGAGTAAGTAGCAAACAAAAGTGGGTCATCTATGAGCATGTCAAGCTATTTCAGAAGAACACGCTTGATAAGCCTGACCTCATTGTGTCGATTGAAAAATAAATTCAGTATGCCTCTTTTTATATATTCCTTTCCAAGTCACCTAACGCTATTATAATCAGAGAAACTGTATTATATTTAAATTATAGCGTCTTTAATAATTTTCGCAATGTTGTGTGCAATAAACCCTTGAATTTTTCTTTTTAAATGCACTGAAAGGCGCTATATGGTAACAAATATGTAAAACTTATAACTCAAACCTTTAAAGTACGCTCTGAGGCCGTTTTAATGAACGACTATAGGCCAAGCTAACGAGTATCATATGATTCAACAATTATAAAAATAGAGAAACATAAATATGTAATTTCTTCTAAATACACATCTTAGTATATTTTTAACGCAATACGAATTTCATATTGACTGCACTCACCGCCTCTAGGAATTCCACCACTCTTTCAGTTGCTACATCAAGGACAATGTTGAATTCTTTGGCCGAGTCGATTCGCTTGAGGAGTGTCTTGACAGCAATGCTGGGGTTGAAGAGCTCCAAGTTGACCATCGCTCCGATGGCGAAGGACGTATTGAGAACCTCCTTCATTCGGACGAAAGCTGCATTGGGCAAAAACGGATAAACTGGCAATCACGATATTCTGCAGAAGGCGTCAGAAGCATGAGGACAGAAGCAACAAGCGCCACAATCTCACGGCATAAGTATTCGCTGGTTCGCCTTTTTTGAAAATAATTGTTTTTTTTATTAGAACTGGCAGTAGTCTCTGCTTATCTCAAGTCTCATAAGGACCCCATACACTTACGCAAGAATGTTTCAATGGGTTGTAGATTTTAAGGTTAGAGAAGTCAATCGAAAAGATTGTGTCTTTACACAGATCTTCAAAAAGTTTAATTATGCCCCATTTTCTGTATAATCTTCATTGATTATTCAATCATATTGATCTTACCATACACCCTTAGAAAAAAGGCCATATTCTTACATTCCTTGTCCCACAGAAAACACCCCAAAACTCCAATTCGACGGTCACCGTGCTGACGTCGAACCGACGGTACCAACCTTCACGAGCGGCTCGATAGCCGAATGGTACAACTTATTGAAATAACTAATGTATGTGTTACTGATAAAAAAAAAGTACCGTATTTACTTGAATGTAACGCGACCACGATTGTAACGCGAAAAGTGACTTTTCACAGCGCAAAAAAAAAAAAAAGAACTCGAATGTAACGCGAGTTAAGTGAGGGGAAAAAAGTACCTTAAAAAGTACTACAACGTGGTCCGCGGAAGCCTTTTCGGCCGGGTTCACACTTGAAGAGCACTTCACGCTGGAGCCTTCACCCACGGATAGTCGATTCTGCCACATCTACCCGTCGAGCCGCGGCAGAGTTTCCGATTTCCTCAGCCATCATAATTGCACTTCTCTTAAAGCGGGCGTCGTACTGAGCTCGTCGCGTCGCCATTTGCTCGAGTCCAGTCGCGGAAGCACGTAGCAGAAGCTCACAAAACACGGACAACACGGGCACATGGGTACGGTGACCCTAACAGAAAGAAAAAGCGTTGTGAAGGTAACCCGTAACCCTAACATGGGCGCAACGAGTCGCAAACAAGAATAGGATTGGATTGGCTGTTTCCAGCGTGTGTATGTTGCCAGCACAAAATTGCAAGATCGCGAGATTTTTCGTCGCCATTTTAAAGAGCCTGTGCTGCGACACCGCCAAGGCAAATTTTGAGGCGTTTCGATCATAACGCGAACCCCCAAATTAGGTAAGGGAAATTTGAAAAAAAACTCTCGTTACATTCGAGTAAATACGGTAATTGTTTTTTTTTTTGGTTTTAAGGCAAAACCTCAGTGTTTTTTGTTTCTTCTGTAGTCTTCAATACGCACTGTAACTATTTAATGAGGTTTCTCTCACCGTTATCAAGCCCCCTGCCCCCCCCCCCCCCAACCCCCTTTTTTGCCTTTTACAAGATGAAGCAATCTGTTCGACGTCACTGCTCTGTAAATCAAACTGCAGCTTTGAGGTGCATTATATGGGACGAAACGGTGCAAGCCGACACTCTTTTTTCTAGAGTGTAGAAAACGCGTGTAGTGTTGCTGCGTAAATGCTCAAAGAGGAACGGTGAATAATTATTCTTTGCAACAAAAAACATTAAGCATCATAGGATAAACCCGTTTTTCGTGCCCTTTGTCAAATGTTTATATAAACTAGGCTGCGATTTTTAAGTCGATGATAAATTTAAACACCTGCCCAAGAAAACAGTATTCCAAATTATTCAACGCTTTAACTTCAATGTTTCAAGATTGCTTTTGATAGAAAATTGTATTACTATTACAAAATAGTCAGGACCTAATGTGAGTGATAAAAGGGAGCTGGCAGTGTCGTTTTCAATCATACTTGTTTCCGCCTTGCGATTATCTCCTTTCTACGAAGCAGACTGACGCGTATAACGTCACAGGCCGGAGATCGTCTGTTTTTGCTGCCCTTTTGTTCGATGCACTACCATCAGCTTGAAAATAATGAGATAAGTTAAAGAATATGGGCTTCATAAGTATATCCTTACATAAACACATGCAAGTAAAAATAACAATTATGCTTTTCCAGGTTCGAAGATAGTGAATATTTTATTCTAAATACTTTACAAAAAGAAAGCAATAAAAAAGTAATTTCATGATTCCTGCAGTGGGGCATAGAGGTAAACGTCGTTACATTTGATCTCCCAGCATAATCTTGCTGGCTTAAAATTCGTCGCAGCTCGTCCTACCAAGCACATTATAAAGGCAGTGGGGTACAAATATTTTGTCTGTACTCTTTATGACAAAAACGTTAAACTTTTTAGTCTTTCATTTCACGTTGCTCTCCAAATCTGCTGTCGCTTCGACTTATTTTACTTCAGTTTAAAATTTGTTCTTGAGAGAGAGGGCGCGAGGATGGGGTTGAAGAGGAAAGTCGGGGAGCTTTTCCTACGGCACTCGGTTCATAGCAGACAATACATCATTTTTCTTTTTTTCTTTTTCGGGTTGTAAGGAGCTGATTTGCGGAGTTTTCGTGTTTCATTTTCTTCTCTGAACTCCATTTCGAAGCAGACGTACATTTTGCGAGCTATATCTAAGTTCGCTCCTTGAGGAAAACTTAAATCTCAATCTAGCCGCCGCTGTAACCGAAATTAGACTTCGGTAGGTACCCCCTACCGAAGTCCTGTACCCTAAGAGACACAGGACAAGCGCTTTGTTGTTGGCTGCCTATTGCAAATTAAAATATACATATATTGACCGAAGTTAAATATAACAATAGCGATCAATATACGATTCTGCATCACTTGTATCTCAGTTATTTTCTGTGGAGACTAGTGAACCGCGTAAATTTTTGTTGTTATCTTTCAAATATTGTAATTTCTGAAAAGTTACCTATGTTCTTCTTTCATTACCAATTGCCTGAATTTACTGCATGTTTCCCATCGCATGGTCGTAGAGCTTTCTTTCACCCAGGATATTTTAATTCTCCTCTACAAAAAGCAATATTTACCTCAACTTTTAGGAGTTATATAGTTTTCGTATTATATTATTTTAAGCAAAAAGAAAACAGCTAAATTTTAGCCTGAGGTCGTAACTTCCGGTACTGACACACGCTACTTCAGCGAATAGTAAACGAAAATAGTCTTGCAACTGACACAAACGAGATATTCTTACACTTATGCACTGGAATGATAATTAAAAAAAAAAGACTCGCATGGAAAGGGCATATGTGTATAGTAAGTACAATTCACTACAAAATGTGCTACCTTCTCGTCTTTCATGGGATTTCAGTCGTGCAACTCGTAAATATTTTATGTTTTCAGGTGAAGGACAAGTGTATAAAAGGGTAACGATGATAATATTTTAAGCAATACAAACTCTGCGCCGTCAGTCGCTTCAAAGATTTCCAGGAGCCGTTTTTTGAATGAGATGCATGCTGGGCTTCAATGGTCACTTACGACAACTAGCGCGCATAAAGTTCAGCGTGCGCTCGAAAGGGAATACTACTGCATTTAAAATATGTAGCGCGTTTATTCTTGTTCAGTACCGTAGAAAGGCACTCCGAAGTCTGGGGCGGCTTCCACCGCTCCTCTCGAAAAGCAATGTTTTCTTGTATATAATGTTTATCCTAAAAAAAAAAAAAAGAAACAAAAAAAAAAGCTCCTTACATGCACAATATTGCTTTTTATAGCTTTAAATCTCTGTAGATATTTAATTTATTATCAGTGTACATAAATTATGTCTGTTAATTTCTGGGAAGTATTTTATAGCAATATGCTGATTCACTATTTGATACTGTTTGAGGCGACCCCTACAACCACATCAGTGATTACCAAAAAAGAACTGGGAGTGAAGGAAAGACGGTTTCACGCTCTGAGTTGCAACATGCAGTCCCGTCGATAAATAGTACTTTTGAATATCGAAAGTATACATTCAATTTTTTTTTAGTATTTTCGATTTTAAATTCTGAATGTGGAACCATGAATAATATACCCATTTGGAAAAAAAAAAACGCTTTTTCCGTGCCGCTAAGCGTGATCCCGCAGCTCACCGATGGGACGCATACCATGTCGCTGCTGATTTGTACATGACAGCTTTGTGTAGTGCGAAAACTACTGACTCTAATTGTACGTTACCATCTATGCTAATCAATAACCCCCGCCAGTTCTTGAACCACACGAAAGAGAAAAGTAATACAGTTGTACAGCTCAGAGCCGATGATGGTAGCCCTATTTCTTGTGAAGAGTGTGGCAATGAACTCAATGCTATTTTGGTCAGCTGTTTTTCCGAACTCCCTATAAGTAATGATCAAACATACATGTCCTATGACTACCTCCCCATGTACCCCATATCAATCAGTGCTGAAGGCATTGTGAGCATAACCGATTCCCTTAAACTATCCTCATCATATGGTATAGACTATAAACTCCCAAGTTTTTGAAGAATACTAGAATGTACTCCTCCATTCTGCTTGCGAGTATATTTTCCCAATCTTTAGAACAAGGTATTTTGCAAGGCGACTGGAGGGTAGCCAAGGTGGTCCCAGTTCACAAAGGAGGTGATAAATTCAACCCTTCCAACTTTTGCCCAATTTCATTGACCAGTGTCCCAAGATATTTTAGAGCATATCATTTACTCTAACATAGTCAATTTTCTAAAATCTAAGAAGTTTTTTTGTCCCTTTCAACACGGCTTTCGAAAGACATTCTCATCCGAAACACAACTTGTATCATTCACGCATGACCTTCATTCTATCCTTGACGTTTACTCCAAAGTAGATTGCGTATTTTTAGACTTCTCAAAAGCCTTTGAGAAAGTACCCCATACCTTACTATTGTCCAAGCTTAGTAAACTAAATATTGATCCCGGGTACTCACGTGGATACATTTATTTCTAACGAACTGTAATCAATTTGTCAACGTGAATAGCACAAGCTCTGCTATGGTATCAGTAACATCAGGCGTTCCTTAAGGTTCTGTGCTCGGTCCGTTATTATTCCTTATATACATTAACGATCTACCCTCTCATGTATCCTCAAAAATGGCTTTATTAGCTGATGACTGCGTTATTTATCAAGAAATAACTTAT